TCTTTCGATTACTGGAAATGTGAAGTTAGCAGCTTGAAAATGAAGTTTGAGGGAAAAGATGAGAGAGAGACACTAAAAGAGTAGTTAAAGACTTCTCAAAGACGTTTGTTAGAAAACCAACACCAGAACAAGCGATTGAAGACCAAGATAACTTATCTGGAGAGGTCTCTTCAAAAACATCAAGAACTGGATGGCAAAACTATAATTGAATTGGAGGTCATTATAGATAAATTCAAGAATTAGGCAAATGAACTCCAAATCATTCCTTTTGATGAAGGACTCCAATGGCGTTTCCGTTATGAACATGCTTAACAAAGGGTGAATACTAGAGATGTAGTTATTCAAGATTCTTAGAGTAGGTACAGAAAGCGGTACGCCACTTGCATGCTTTGGTGAGAGAAGTCGGGGTGGTTCGAAAAGGTATTCAGCCAGTGACAGAAGAAGCAAAAAAACTTGTCAACCTATTAGAAGTCGTTCAGAGTCTAGAGGACCTAGCTAGAATGTACATTTGAATTGATTTTGGTCTCTTATAAGTAACTATTTTGTCCCAATAAAGACTATTTATAAAAACATAAAAGTTTTGGATCAATGCCTAAAACAATTTCTTGAATCATGCATTTTTGCATATTTTCTTTGCATTTTTCATTTCTTTACATTCAAATTAACTAACAAAAAATATCTCATTGAAAAAAAGGAACAAACACTGGACACACCTCATCAAGAACTAGATATAACTCATTCTCACAATACCTGTTCAAAATAAGAAGAACAAGAAGAAGGAAGCTAAAATTGCTCAGCTTGAGGAAAATATACTAAAACAAAAAAAAAAGAACTTGAGGAGAAAATGAGTCAGAATAATCAAAATACCTTGGATTCTATCACCATGAACTAATAGGCACTAGTTGATCAGATTGTTGTAAAGTTTTTTTGTCTAAATAAATTAATGCCCCAGGGCAGAGGCATCTGAAAGGGTGACTGTATCACCTACCATGCAACTAGTTTTCTAACCTAGAACCCTACCAGGACTTCAAGGGCACTCATCTTCTGCAAAAGCACAAGCTTCTGTAACTAACCCTTAAAATAATTCAGATGATTATCGTATTCCGAATATTGATGAAGAGGACAAAACAAATAACATGGAGAAGAAAATTATGTTGTTGGAAGAATAAATGAAGACAGTTAAGGGAAAATATAATTATTACAGAGTTGATGCTCTGCAACGAAGTTTGGTCCCCGATTTAATCCTTCCTCGTAAGTTTAAAGTCCCATATTTTGAGAAATACGATGGAACAGTTGCCCTTCATCTCACATTACCATGTTTTGTCGAAAGATGACAAGATACGAGGGAAATGATCAGCTCCTAATTAACTGCTTTCAGGAGAGTCTGTCAGGTTTAGGCATTCTGTGGTACAATCAGCTGAATCTTTGACACATCAAAACATGAAAAGATCTTGCAAATTCTTTCTTATAACAATACAAGCTTGAAAATAACATAAGGCTAGATCGTGTCTTGTTGCAAAGTATGGAGAAGAAACATAATGAAAGCTTCAGAAAGCATGCACAACGATGGAAGGACTTAGCTGTGCAGGTTCATCACCTGTTGGATGAAAAAGAGATAAGGAAGCTCTTCATACATACTTTAAAGGCTATTTTCTTTGGGTATCTAGTTGCAATTACATTTGGGAATTTCTTTGATCTGGTTATGGCCGGAGAGATGATTGAGACGACCATTAAACAAGGAAATATAGAGGGAGGTGAGTCAAGCAGAAGATCTCCCATGAAGAATAGAGAAATAGTGATCAACAACACCAACACTTTCAATACCAATAAAAGTGTTATGATCTCTAAGTTAAAACCAACTGCAGCTGTACCATCAGGTACTTCTATAAAAGATACGAGGGAACCAAAAAGGGAAAAAAAGCATTTCGATTCCCATGATATAAAAGGAACTTTACCAACATTTTTTGACACACATGTGGTATCACTATACCCAGTAGAACCACTAAAGCCCCCATACCCAGTGGTATGATGAAAACGCACATTCAGGGCATGCTATTTAAAACTGCCTTACCTTTAAGAGGATTATTCAAAGGATGTGCAACAAGAACTAGATTCAATTCAACAACTCAGAAACACCTAATGTTATGCAGAACCCTTTGCCTAACCACCAAGAAAGTGGGGTTAATGCAATCATCGAGGAGAGAGGCAAGAGGGCCAAGACAAGTGTTTCAAAAGTAAGGTCTCTTCTGGCTTGGGTATGGAGACAAATGGTAAAGGCAGGATTTCTTGCGCCACATTCTAGTTTATCGGGATACGAAGGTGGTAACCATTACTATTATCATAATAAAGAGGAACACAACATTCACGAGGGTTCCGAATTTAAAGCTTTGATTCATCTCATGATGAACAAGAAGGAGTTGGAATTCTATGAGGAAAACATGGACACCCTAGAAGCCGATATTTGTGCAACTGAAGATTTATCTGACAAGGGGTATGGCGTAAGCTGCCCTTTAATAATCACCTCTAATGAGAAGATGGCAGATAAAGTACTGACAAAGGTGGTAGTAACGGCACCAAGACCTTTTCCCTATAAAGACAACAAACAAATACCTTGGAAAAATGAATGCCAAGTAAGCTCTTTGAATGAAGATGTCAATGAAGTGGGGCATACTATTGGGAAATACTACTCCCAAAAGTATAACCTACCCCAGAGACCACTTGAATCGTTCAAAAGGGACGTACTAGCAGTAAATGAGCCAATAAAGGAAAAGTAAGATGTGGAGTTCTTAAAATTTTTACAATATTGTAGAACAAGTATATAGCCTGACAACACATATTTCAATGTTGGCACTGCTGCTAAGTTTGGAGGCACACAAAGAGGCACTTTTGAAGGTCTTAAATCAGACATTTGTGCCGAATGGCATACCAATCAATAAGATGAATCGATTGGTTAACAACATCTAAGTTGATAACCTCATCTCATTTTCTGATGATGAGATTTTGTCCTGAGGAAGGGGCCGGGCAAAAGCTTTGCATATCATCACTCATTGTAAGGGGCATGCTTTACCAAGTATATTAATCGACAATGGTTCTGAGGCTACGAATGGATACTTCCCACATGAGAGCATGCTAGAGTGTGGTTTGAGCATTTGACGGAACAAAGAGAGAAGTGTTCGGTAAAATTGAAGTACCATTAACTATAGGGCATGTCACATACAAAATAGAGTTCCTGATGATGGACATTATGCCTTTTTACAATTGCCTTTTAGGAAAGCCATGGATCCATCAAGCTGGGATAGTACCATCAACACTGTACCAGAAAGTCAAGTTTTTTATCGACGAAACTCTGATAAGTATTAATGCTGAAGAAGACATAGTGAGAAGTGTGTCATCTGATGCCCCTACATAGATGTGAATGAGGAGGATCTGGAGTGTTCATTTCTATCATTAGAGTTTTTTAAAACCATATTTGTGGCTGAAGGGGGTAAAATTTCCATACCCATACTCTTAGAAAGCACCAAGATGGAAATCAAGCAGACTTTGTGTAAAGGTACAAATATAGGAAATGGGTTCGGGAGCACTTTGCAAGGAATAATAAGTCCCATTTCTCCTGTTGTCAAGCTAGATCAACTTGGGCTTGGATATCAGATCAGTCATCAACAAAGAAGGAAAGAGATTTAGAGATGCCAATGTCTTTGTTTCCCATTCACAACACATTCAGGTTTGGTGATTATGTTTTCGAGGAAGAAGCTAGGATGGCCATACCTAATTTACAAGAAATTTTGAAAGGCTTAAGTATCAATTCTATAACCATGGAAAACAATGAAGATGTTGATAGATCTAGAGTACGTCCATTACCGTCGGGGTTTTTGTTTAACAACTGGACTCCTGAAAGACTACATATGGTTTTCAAATCTCTTTCAGAGTAATACTCAAACTTTCCCTATCTGACTATACCCGGGGCAATATGTGATCTTTTGTAAAGGTTAATGAATTGTTTTTATTTATATTTCAATAAAAGATGCAATATTTTTTTGACAAACATTTCTTCCTTTTCATTTCCTTTCTTTCGTATATAATTTTATTTCTTTTCTTCATTTTATGTGGGATATGTTTTCTCGCATATACATATTTTTTTCTCCTTTCCCTTTCAGGTCTTTGGATATTCATGATGTGGACAATGATGATTCTGACCCGGAGGTGGATTTTGAGCACTTCAAGTGTTTTGGGAAAATTGATGAATGTGACCACGAAGAAGAGTGTGACTTACCTTCGGAGTTATTAAGAATGGTAGAGTGAGAAAACAAACAAATATTGCCTCATGAAGAGAAAATTGAAGTCCTGAACTTTGGCAGTGCAGAAGAAAAGAAAGAAATTAAAATTGACACGATACTCTCTTCTTAAGCAAGACAAAACTTGATAGACTTACTTCGGGAGTACAAAAACGTGTTTACATGGTCATACCAAGACATACTTTGGCTAGACACGGATATGGTAGTCCATAAATTACCAATCAAGCCAGAATGCAAACCCATGCAGTAAAAACTAAGGAGGATAAGACATGAAATGCTCCTTATGATAAAATAAGAAGTCAGGAAGCAGTTTGATGCGGGTTTCCTTCAAGTTGCCAAGTATCCAGAGTGGGTGGCTAACATCGTGCCGGTGCTAAATAAGGATAGAAAATATGCATGTGCGTTGATTACCAAGACCTCAACAAAGCAAGTCCTAAAGACAACTTCCCCTTGTTGAACATAAATACTCTGATGGATAACACGACAGTAAATGCTTTCTTCTTATTCATAGACGGATTCTCAGGGTACAACTAGAATAAAATGGATCCAGACGACATGGAGAAAACCACATTTATCACAATGTGGGGAACATTCTGTTACAAGGTGATTCCCTTCGGATTAAAGAATGTTGGGGAAACGTACCAAAGAGCCATGCTGAACTTGTTTCACGACATGATGCATAAGGAGATTGAAGTTTATGTTGACGACATGATTGTCAAAGAACAAATTGAAGACGAGCATGTCGAGAACATGAGGAAACTCTTCCAAAGACTGAGAAAGTTTCAATTGAGGCTAAACCCAGACAAATGCACTTTTGGAGTAACATTTGGGAAGCTGTTGGGCTTCATTGTTAGCAGAAAAGGCATTGAGGTTGATCCGAATAAAGTTAAAGCTTTCCAGAATCTACCTCCCCTATGAACACAAAAAGAAGTTCGAGGTTTTCTGAGTAGATTAAATTACATTACTCGATTCATATACCGATTGACAGAAAAATGTGATCTAATTTTCCATCTTCTTCGAAAGAATAATTCTAGATCATGGGATGTTGACTTCAATACCTCATTTGAGAAAATAAAAGAGTATTTATCTCGTACTCTTGTTTTAATTTCTCTCATCCCATACAAACCTTTGTTCCTTTATCTATCCGTATTTGAGAATTCGATGGGATGTGTCCTGGGGCAACATGATGAATCAGGAAGAAAAGAGAGAGCTATTTACTACCTGAGTAAGAAGTTCATTGACTACGAGCCCATATATCCACCCATTGAAAAAGTTTGATGTGCTCTAGTCAGGGCTACACGAAGACTCGGACAATACATGATATACCATACCACTTGGTTAATTTCCAAGTTAAATTCACTAAAATTCATGATGGGTGTGCCTACTCTCTGGAAGGGTAGCCTGTTGAAAAAGGTAACTATTTGGATTTGTCATTGAATACGTGAGCTAAAAGGCTATAAAGAGAAGTGTCATATCTGACTTCTTAGCAAGTATAACGTCTGAAAACTATGAACCATTAGACTTCGACGTTCGACATGAAGACTTGATGGCTATATATTTATAAGAAGCTAGTACTTCCCCATGTAACTCTTGGAAAATAGATTTTGATATTGAATCAAATGTGTTAGGGCATGTCATTGGGGCTATTTTGGTCTCACCCAAAGGCAAACTTTATTGGTTCACTAGCAGTTTGAACTTTGATTACACTAACAATATGACGGAGTATGAAGCTTGTGTTTTGGGGATTTGAGCTGTTATTGGACAGATCATAAATACTTTGAGGTTGTATGGAGATCCTGCCTTAGTGATCTATCAAATCCGAAGAGAGTGGGAAATAAAAGATACCAAACTGGTGGAATACAGAAAGCTCATTCTAGATCTACTTAAAGAATTTGATGAGGTCACTTTCTATTACATACCAAGAGAAAAGAATCAAATGGCAGATGATTTAGCTACCTTGGCAACAATATTCAAGACTGGTGGGGAATCTGACATGATGCCAATCAATATGTAATCATATGAGTACCCGACTCATTGTTATCAAATCGAAGAAGTAAAAGATAAAACACCATGGTACCATGACATTCTACAATACATCAAAAATCAAAGCTATCAGAAGGAAGCCACTAAGACTGACAAAAAGACAATCAGAAGAATGGCAGCCTAATATGTTCTTGATGGAGAAGTCTTATACAAAAAAAGTCATGATAAAATCTTGTTAAGATGTGTAAATGCAGATGAGGAAAAGATGATTTTTGGAGGAGGTACATGATGGAGTGTGTGGAACTCATGGAAATGTGCATATGATGTCAAGGCAAGTCATGAGATGCGGATACTTTTGGTCCACATTGGAGAGTGATTGCAACAATTATGCCAAAAAATGTCATAAATGCTAAATATATGGGGATAAAATAAATGTCCTACCTTGTCCTCTTCATGTGATGACGACTCCATGACCCTTTTCTATATGGGGCATGGATGTTATCGGACAAATACATCCAAAAGCTTCAAATGGCCATTGATTTATCCTTGTAGCCATTTACTACTTTACCAAATGGGTGGAGGTTGCATCATATGCTAGTATCACTCAGTCCACTATTTGCAAATTCATGAAAAATGAGATCATATGTTGGTATGGTTCACCAAAAATGATCATTACCAATAATGTAACCAATTTAAACAACAAAATGATGGATGTCGTATGTGAACAATTCAATATAAAGCATCACAACTCTACTGCTTATCGACCAAAGATGAATGGAGTGGTAGAGGCAGCAAACAAAAATATCAAGAAAATAGTATAGAAAATGACTGAGACATACAAATACTGGCATGAAAAGTTACCTTTCGCCTTATTTGCCTACCGAACTTTGGTACGAAAGTCGACTGAGGCAACTCCCTTTTCATTAGCTTATGGAATAGAGGTTGTGTTGCCCATAGAGATAGAAATCACATCACTCTGGGTTCTTTCAAAAGTAAAGTTAGATAATGCGTAATGGGCACAAACTCGATATGATCAACTCAACTTAATAGAAGAAAAGTGGTTGAAAGCCATTCACCATGGTTGACTCTACCAAAAATGAATGATATGAGCATACAACAAGAAATTGCACCTAAGAGTATTCCATGAAGGAGATCTCATAATTAAAAAGATATGGTCAATCCAAAAAGACTTTAGAGGAAAATGGATGCCAAACTGGGAAGGGCCTTATGTCATGAAAAAGGCTTTCTCCGGAGGAGCTCTAATCTTGACTGAAATGGACAGACCAGAACTGCCCAATCTTATTTACTCTAATGCAGTCAAGAAATATTTTGCTTAAAATGAAAACCCAAAAGGGCGCTCTAAGTCGAAGTAAAAAACGGTTTGAGTGAAAACCTGAGAAGGCGCTCTAAATAAAAAGAAAAACAAAAAAGAAAATAAGGTGGGTACAAGATGAAAACTCGTAAAGAGGATCGAAATGGCGGCTTGGGTAATGATCCAGGATTCGCGCATGGGAAGGTCCCGAATCAAGACAATAAAGCATCACTACATCCAAGTATTTAGGAGCTTTGCACTCTTCCAAATGTTGTTACATCTTGGAAGTCCCCTTGAAAAAAGATGCACTCAAAAGTCATCTAACGGTGTGCCAGTTCAAAGGAGTCCACATTATTGATATCTAAGGCATCTACTTGTATTTCTTTTATATCTTGACTTTTCAGAATGTTTTCCATGTATTTTTTTCTTTTTCCTCATAAATAAAAATCACTTTCTTTCAAGCATCTTAGATTGAATTTAAATAAGAATAATTTATTCACTTTTGAAAAAGATAATTGCATACTACTGTACAAAGATTTTTTAGAGGTACAGGAGTTTGGAAGCTGATATAAGTTCTTGCACAATACTCAAAAGAATGAAATGGAAACTAGTTCAAAACTCACCAAGGAATCAAATCAAAACCCGTTGAGGGTCATGGAATCCATAACCAAAAATCAAAAAAGTCAAGTTTGGCAAGAATCAAGAGCAATCAAGACCGACAGCAAACGATTGAGATTTCTCTCTAAATCCTAAAATAACATATTCTGCATATGCATTTTAAGCGTACATAAGAACATTGCGTCCATGAGCATCGCACACATGCATGATTTTTCAGATTGTTATCAGTCATTTTTCAAATTCACAACGAAGGATATTGAACTCAAAGAACACTCAAGATTAAAACAAAACAACTTATCTAAGTTGGATTTCAACTTCACAACGAATGGTATATGTCTAAAAAATATATATTCAATTTTGACTCAACTTCATGACGAATGAGTCACCCACGATTTCAACTTCACGATGAAGGATATCGTTCCCAATAAATCGACTAAACTTCATGGATAATGAGTCATCTACAACATAGCTTAACTCAACAATGAGGAGCTATTTTCCAGTTCAGATTTCAAGCAGGACTTCAACTTCACGACAAAGGATATCAGGCTCAAATCAACCACGACTTCACAACGAAGGATATCATGCTCGAGACATTTCAAAATTGACTCAACTTCATGACCAATGAGTCATTTGTAATTCAATAACAGGTAGTTATTCCTAATTGAGATATTCGAGTCAAATTTCAACTCCATAAGGGAGGATATTAGACTCAGGGACCCCTTCATACCGAACGAAATTTTACGTCTTTTTATCTGTCCTATTTTTGTTACACAATAAATAGACAAAGAGGGGCATCTATAGACACATATTTTCGTCCGGGGTTATTTTTTAGTATATAATATATATATTATAGTATATATATATATATATATATATTATATAGTTATATATTATTGTATATTATAATTATATAATATATATATATATAGTATATATATGTAGTATATATATATATATATATTAATTATATATATTATTATAATTATATTTATTATATATTATTCTACTATTTATTTGTTTATTTAATTTAATTCAATTTAGGTCCAGAAATAGTCCAAGTCTAACAGAGGGAACCTAACCGGGTCCAATAGTCCAAGGGGTCCAGCAGAGAGCCCAACCGGGTAGGCTAGCCTAACCCAACAAGGCAACCCAGTCAGCCCAATAGAGCTAGGGTTTGACGATTAGCAAAAGGCGCCGCAACACTAAGGCCATAGGATCAAGCTTGGATCAATGACCCAGATCTCGGGCGGTTAGGGTCACAAAATCCTAAAACTATCATATACCAATGCGTAGCCACATGAGGGCCGTTAGATCTGGCCCCGTGATCTAACGACCCAGATTGCATCAAGAGGCCAACATTCGCCATTCAACGGCGCGTAAAGGTCGCACGCCTACATTGACCGAGACTCTCGGCACCTGAAGCTGGAAATATGGCAAAGTCGGGGCAAACACATTCTATAAACCCTGAAAATAGAAAAATCAAAGCACACTAATAAAATGCCAAACGGGGACTGCACCATCCCGAAAAGATTGGCAACAACCAACAACGTCAAACAGGACTGAACCATCCAGGAAAAATCAGCAACATCAACACAGGTGGGACTATATAAACCCCTAGTATCGTCAAAGCAGAGGACAAGAAAAAATCAAAGGGAACAACAAAACAATACCACAAACGAAAAACCAACAAAAATCCTAACAAGCTACACGAAAAATCATCCACAACAAATAAAAAACCCCAACAAACAACGTCCGAATACCCAACAAAAATCATAGTAAAATCAAGCTTGAGTCTCGATTTTGTGAGGAGAATGAAGGACCGTCGGGAAAACAAGGAGTCACGGTGGGCAAAGGTAAAATAACGTTACATTCGTCGAAGGTAAATAATAAGGATCGAAATGATAAATTGAAATTTAACCTTAATTTTTTCGCTTAATAAGACAACAGGAAATTAATTTTGGCATGACTCACTTACTTGTCCCTGCGAAGTCGCCAAGCTATCGTAACCGTCCTTCTGGTGGGCTCGGAATTAGGCTTCGACTTAAATAAATGTGTTAGAGCCGCCACCGATCATTTACAAGTAGGTTGATCAAATACCTTAATTTAGTATCTTACTTGATCCATGTTTACCAGAAATATATCAGATTTAAGGGTCGATTAAAGTCAAGGAAGGATTAACACCCTTGTACTGTCCTTTTGGTACCAATTTAATTTTCCGGTTATCTTAATTACGAAAATTAAAATTTGAAATTCGATCTGAATTACTTACCTTTGATTCAATTAAAATTGTCCTATAAAAAAAGTCAAAAATAAAAGTTAAATAATAAAATAAAATAAATAAAATAAATAAATAAAAGAATTAAAAGGAAATTCAAATTAAAAAGGATTAAATTGAAAAGAATTAAAAGTCAAGGATCAAATTGGTATTAATTGAAAGCTGTAAGAGGAAAATAAAAAGTTAGGGGTTTAATTGCATAAATATAAGAATATTAATAGGGATTAAATTAAATTAATTCAAAATTCAAGGTCAAATTTACAATAGGTGACCAAAATTAATTACACTTCAAAGTTAGAGGGACCGCAAAAATAATTAAATTATTTGTTATTTATACTCTAGTCCTTCTGCTATATATACCCCAAAAACTATAAAAAAATCATTTCTAGCCTATCTCCCAAAAAAAAATCTTCTCCTAAACACTCTCCTCTTTTCTCTTATCCGGCCAAACGTCGGCCATCTCACCACCATAGCCCATCTCACCACCGTAGCCCATCGCCTGGACCGCAGTGGACACCAAGCCGAAGCCCAAATTTCGTAAAACCCCCAAATAACGTAGATCTACACTTAAAGTTTTGTTTTTTTTACCTTTGTTTGGTGGTTTTACGAATTTCGGCGACTACTCCTCACTTTTCCCGGTGATCTTCAAAGAACCAAGGCCTTTGGATTTATTTTTTATGATTTTGACATTATTCGAACGTTTTTCTTCTCTCTTGGTTGCTCGATATTTGGTTGCCTTTTGTTTTGCTTAGCTCTCTTTGCTTTACTGTGGATGATTTTTTTTGCTTCGTTGCTCGATGTCCCTTTGGTTTTTCAATCTGGAGGT